CTAAAACAGCTCAAATGTGGCTGAGAAAACAGCTAAAACAGCTCAAACGTGGCTGAGAAAACAGCTAAAACAGCTCAATTGTGGCTGAAAAACAGCTAAAACAGCTCAAATGTGGCTGAGAAAACAGCTAAAAGACCCATTCCCGTTGTCGTTTTAGATTTAATCACTACGCAGGTTCATGTCATCTTTGGTCAAAGTTAGAAAGAGCTCTTGAGAGAGGCTGAAAAGCCAGATGTGTCTCCAGAGTGACAGGATGCAGACCCCTGACCCTGAGGGACTCCATTTAAAACCATGTCTTCATTTGGCTATAATCTTTATTTATTTGGTCAATCCTGGTTAACTGTATGGATTTTAATTTGTAGAAATGTTTTTAGATGCACAGTCTTGGATCTTCTGTATTTTGTGTTGTCTCCTAGAATTTACATTTTCGTTAATTGTTTTTTTTTTACCAGGTTGAAAGGGCTTTTTCTGTTTGCGGCACAATTGAATATATGGCTCCAGAAATCATTGAAGGGGGAGAGTCTGGACATGACAAGGTCAAATTCTAGTTCCATCGCTGAAGTTTTGTTTCTGCTCTAATTAAACGTGTCTGAACTTGTTCCAGTCAATTTTCATGAATCCAGGCTTTCATGCATTTCAGGCGGTGGACTGGTGGAGCCTGGGTGTGTTGATGTACGAGCTTCTGACTGGTGGATCACCCTTCACTGTGGATGGAGACGAGAACTTGCACACAGACATCGCCAAGTACGAATTCATCCTGATGAACATCCCATCATCCACAGCTTTTTAGTTGTTATCACGCAGCAGCACTGACCGGATCTAAACTTCTCATCACAGGAGGATTTGCAAAAGGGATCCTCCTTTCCCCAGAGACATGGGTCAACTGGCCAAAGACCTAATCAAGCAACTCCTCATCAAAGACCCAAAGAAGAGGTTGGGCTCAGGAGCTAATGGAGCAGAGAATTTGAAGAAACACCCATTTTTTCAGGTGGATTTCGTTGCTGTTCTCTATAAATTCACAATATTTGGGAGTATTTTCACATTGGTTTCAAATAATTCTCCTCTTTCTCTTCAGAAATTAAACTGGGAGGACTTGGCAGCTAAGAAGGTGCCTGCACCTTTCAAGCCAGTGATCCGGGATGAACTGGATGTCAGTAACTTTGCAGAGGAGTTCACGGATATGGACCCCACATACTCCCCTGCTGCTTTGCCTCAAAACTGTGATCGCATCTTCCAGGTGGGCGAATGGGACGTTAGACAGCCAGACTGTGTGTTTGTTTTAGGGCTTTAGATTCTGTTGTTTGGTTACAAATCTATTCCTTAGTTTCCTCTCAGATTGTTGTTTGACGTGTGCTGGGTCGCAGTGCTTAATGCAGCCTGATAAATACCGGGCATGTACCTGGTACATCCCCTGTAGGTACCTGGTAAATACCAACCAGGTGTGTTTGTCCGTTGCAAGTGATGAGGATCAACTAGTCATCCTGGGGTTGGGGTTGATATGTGGACGTGAAGGGGGCTGGTCAAGCCAGTTTGTGCTGGAATGTTCTGCGGCAGTATGGACGGAGAATGGCGGCCGCTGATGGGGGATAGTTTGTGTTGGGCTTCCTTGTCTGTTGCTGCTCAGCTGCATCTGTCCTGCTTGCTTCATAGTTTTTCACCCTTGTGAACAGATGTTTGACATTTTCCTCTTTCTTGTGCTGTCTGCTCCCATGTATCGGTGCAGACGCCGGAGGCCTCCATTGAGGCTTTCAGCGTTTCTTTAATGCACCTTTTCCTCATCCTTTTGTATGGATGATGTAGATCAGGGGTTCCCAACCCTGGTCCTTGTGGAACACCATCCTGCATGTTTTAGTCGTTTCCTGCTCCGACACACCTGATTCTAATTAATGGATGATTAACAAGCTTCTGCAGAACATGAAGTAATTAAATCACTGAATCAGGTTGATGGAGCAGGGAAACAACCAAAACATGCAGGGTGGTGTTCCTCAAGGACCAGTGTTGGGTACCACTGGTGTAGCTACTTGGTAGGCTAACAGTCAGAGGGTCTCCCATTTAATGTCGAGGAGTTTTCAGAAGCAGGTGGTGTGGAAATGGTTGTGCTTCCTTGTGTAGCATTGGTAGACTGTCCATGATTCACAGCCATACAGGAGGGTGGTCAGAACTATGGCCCTGTAGACCATTGCAAACTGGGTACGTACCAGTAAGTACTATCTATGTATTTGATACCTATCAAGAAATGAGTACCTACATCTAAGTACCTGATACGTTCCTGTTAAGCACCAGGTGTGTAATATTTACACCTTTAAAATTTGGACTCGTTACATACCAGATAAGTACTATTTTTAAAGCAGAAAAGTACCCAATGAGTACTTGGTATGTACCTAATAAGTACCCAGTACACAGAGTGTACATAGCAGGCTGCATTTTGTATTCCTGTGATTTTGTGCTGGTGTTTGTCCGTTCTTCGTCTGCAGCCACAGAGAGAGAAATGTTGACACGGATGATAAAATGCATTCTACGTTAGCACGTTTGGTCTGTGACTATATTTGACATATTTCACAGCAATCGAAGGCATCACTTGAAGTTTTGAATGTCCTCAAAAGGTTGCTGTAAGTCAACATGAGTCTGTCTGTGTGCATCGGTATTCAAATTGACTAAAGAGTCTTTTATTGGCGTAATTGCTGCCATATGCAGCTCTTATTGAAGTAACAGATGTGAATGACTATTTTTGATGTAGCTTTGAACCATAATATGGCCCACAACTTCATGCCAGCTGATAGCTGTCTGATGTATTGCGTGAAATTTCAACTCTGATTGCCTTCTGGATCCTTGAGCTTGGCAGATCAATAGATCCATTAACGGGCTTCTCTCCTGAAATAAAAGGTTACACTTGGAGAGCATCACCACGTCTATCTCGGTTACGCCTTCAAACTTTGATTGCCAACTTCATCTTGGCTTTTTCCACCTCTCAGCTGCCATTCACACAGTCTGAAATTTTGTGGTCTTTATAATTTGCAAGCCTAGCAATCTCTGAGATAACGACAGCAATCCCAGTTTAAACCGTGCACTTGCTCCCCCGTGGTGCCTCACAAAACAAAATTAAAATTACATTAAGAGCGCCAAGATGTAATTTCACAGCAGAGCAATCAAATATTCAAGCCTGGCAATTTAGGGCATCTCATTCATTCAGCATCCATCCTTCCGTCCATCCCCTGTCACTCCATACCACACAGCTGTGTGTGTGCCGGCGACAAGAGGGAGGGGGGTTCGTGCCAGCTCAGGCTCTGGGCACCCCACAGCTGGAATTAAGCAGCGACTCTACACAATAGCAGGTTTGATAATGGGAACAGCTGGACAGCTGCTGTCACTCACGAACCAGCAGTTTGTATTTTTCTAGAGCATTAAAAGAAAATGAACGAGACTTTGTGCAGTAAATTTATTTTCCTTCACTGGGTCTGCGCACCACTTTAAAGTAACGGAGGTCTCTCGTGTCTTCTTGTGCAGGGGTATTCTTTCATGGCCCCCTCCATCCTGTTCAAGAGGAACGCCGTGATGGACGACCTGGTCCAGCTGTGCGGGGATTCTGAGCGGCCCGGCTCCGCTGCTGTGGCCCGCAGCGCCATGATGAAGGTGAGCCGAACGGTAAAAGCACTCGTCCCCTACCGGCTGCTGACAGGACGTCTTTGTTTTTCTAAGCTTGTTCCCACTGAGCTGCGCTTGGCGCAGACTGTGCACGAGCCTGTTGGACCAACAGGACTTGTTCGTGAACTCTGGGGATATTTTACATTTTGAGAAAATTGCAATTGAGCTCTTGTTTAAAACATCTTCTCATCCAGTTGGTGACTCAAAGCTGTGAGAAAGGAGCTGAAATTTAATTGTGATCTCACTGAATTCTTATTGTTTGTGGCCAGCAAGCCACGTGGCTGCAATTTAAAAATGTATTTATTATTCTTTAATCACTCCTCTTTTAAAACTGAAATTGAGAACCCTTGTTAACATTTTGAGATATTTTGTAGACTCCGTCACAAATGTTGTCCATCGGTCGCAGCCGAAGAGAAACGTCTTTGGCTGAAAGATTTCTTAACCAAATAAAAATATGTTGTGATGGTAAAATAAATATGAAGTTGAATACTTTCTCAAATTCATCTAAAATTATTTAAACTATTTTTATATTTATATATTATCATTTTTATACCTTATTGTAATTATTATTTATCTTGATTTTCACGTAAACCTAATTTCAGATTAAGTTATAAAATCCAGCTGTGGTTTGCTCCAGATGTGATCAGAAAGTCAATAAACATTCACTGTATTTTATAGTTTTACCTGTTGCTGACAGGAAGCTAATTAAAAACAACAATTTGCTTTGTAAAAGTATTTTTGTGCTTTAATTCTAGTGCTTAGTTCCTAATGTACATTTACTACATTTGTATTTCTTTATTTAAAGTTTTACACAGGAAATTAGTTTCAGATGATACTACCATCGTTTCTGGACTATTGAGCGCACCCGACTATAAGCCACGCCCACTAAATTAAAAAAAAATTGTACATATATAGGCCACGCTTGTCTAAAAGCCACGGGTGTTCACATTATAACATGAGATATTTACACAGAAATATTTTTTCTTAACTTTATTTTAAATGCGTATCGGTAACAAACACAAACACGTACAGTGGATGTTTCTTTTCTGAACGGTGCTGCTTGAAATACAGAAGTCACTGATCGCTGTCTTCATCTTCCTCCTGCGCAAACTTGTGCTGTCCTCATCACACAGCAGCTGCCCTTTGAAACAGGGGGGGGGACGTTGTTTCATAAAAAACTTAATCCCCCCCTCCCTGGGGGCACAGCAGGGAGGGGAGGGGGAACCTCCCTGTCCTCTCCTCTGCAGAAATTGTCCGCAGCATTGAATGAGCCGGGGGGTCGAAGCCTGAGGAAAAAGTAGCAGCTTGGAGACCAGAAATTACAATAATTTATTCACTGCTGTGGATCACAGCGTGCACCAAGTAAAAAAACAACACAGGGTAATCTAAAGAAATAAAAACAATTTTTAAATTTGCTGCGTGTTTTGTGTATTTTTAATTTAAGCTTCGTTCATGTGCACAAAATGAAGTCATCAGTTTGAAGAACTCCTTTATGACTCGCGTCTCTGTGACGTTAGAGAAGGATGAATAAAAAACATAAACTGAAATAAATGCACAGAGGTTTTGGTGATGCCTTTTATAAGTTTGAATCTATTCAGTTCAGTTTATTATATGTATGTATTTTAATATTTATTATGTGTGACCAGACGTTTTATTTGTCTGTGGAGGACTCACCTTTTTATCTGAGTTATGAGATGGACCTGAAGGACGGCGCTTTGGGAGAGGGCAGCTTCTCCATCTGTCGACGCTGCACACAGAAGAAGACCGGACAGACGTTTGCAGTGAAGATCGTCAGCAAGAGGTAGGAGCTGACGGAGTCCATGGATTCACACGATGTGTTGAGTTGATAGTTTTACTGCTGCATTTACACTCAGCTAGCCCACATCAACACACTCAGAATCAACATCTTACATGATAAATGCATTAAACTGATCAAAGGAACTTGTTTTTCAACTGTGGTGACAAACCCGACGTTTGTTCTTGCAACTTGTATAAGATCAGCTTTGACTCAGTGTGTCGGCTGCAGTCGGACACGACTTTCATCTGCTGACCGGGATTAGTCCAGAAACTGCAGCTCTGTTGTTGGTAAGACGCGTCACAGGAAAGCCGCTCTGCTACGTTTACTGACGTCTGTGGACGTTTCGACGAGTCGTTTACTGACGTCTATGGACGTTTCAACGAGTCGTTTACTGACGTCTGTGGACGTTTCAACG